TGCGCGGACCGGCCACCGGGGGCGCTGCGCCCGCACCGCCCCGCCCCGCCCGACCGCCCGCAGGAGTCGCCACCGCCCGTGTGGGACCGCGTGGTGGGACCCGAGCTCCGGACGCTGCTGCAGGGCAAGGCGGGGCTCCGGGCCGTCGGAGGCTGCATCGCACGCGGGCCCGGCCTTGGCTTCCCCACGCTGCCCTCTCAGGGCCCGGGAAGGTGGTGTGAGCGCCGTTGCACGCGCTGGGAACCGGGAGCAGTGCTCCCGGGGACGGCGGGGCTGGGAAGGCCCCGGCAGGCAGCCGGCTTGGCCTCCGGGTGGGCAGGGACGTGCAAGGGAACCGCTAGCCCCAACCGGTGCCCCGAGCTGGCTTAGGGTGGTGGAGATGCCGCGATCTCCCGGCAGGCGAAAGGGACCAAAGGGAGGTCTCCCGGAAGGAGCACCTCCAAGATTTTCAGGGATGATGGAGATCTGTGACCCTGGGGAAAATCCAGAGGGCAGCAGGGACTGCTCAGCAGGCTCACCGGCTTGATTTCTGGGACACTCACATTTGCCTCCTAGCAATTTGCTAAGAATGTGCAACTTTTTGAACAGGTTGGCCTTGAACTCACAGATAATCTCCTGCCTCTGTCTCAGGAGTGCTGGAAATAAAGGCGTAGGCCTCCACGCCCAGCTCCTTTAAGTGATGCATATGACAGTTCAAAATAAAGAGAGGCTACACAATTTACCAGGCACAGAAAGAAAACCCCTTGTTCACAATTTAATTTTTTTTTTATGAGGATGAGAGCAGACCACTAAACCAAGCACAGGTCCTGCTAAGAGCTGGACCTTGTGTGACTGAACAGGTCACATGCCCATGAAGCCAGACTACTGTGCAAGGCCTGGTCTACATAGCGAGGTCCTGGCCAGCTGGGACTCTAGGGAGACCCTGTCTCAAAAAAACCAAAACCAACCAAACAAACATAATGAATTGAAGTAACACATTAAAATAATGGGGGCTGGAGAGATGGCTCAGTGGTTAAGAGCACTGGTTGCTCTTGCAGAAGACTCAGGTTCCATTCCCAGCAGCCACATGGCAGCCAACAACTGCAGGCAACTCCAGTTCTATGAGATCTGACATCCTCTTCTGATTTCTGCATGCATTGCATGACATGGGTACACTTACATGCAGGCAATACACTCATACACATAAAATAAAAATAATGAAATATTTTTTAAATAAAAATAAAAGAAGTACTTGGGCTTAGGAGTGAACCTGTTCCCTTATACTTAGCTCTGTAAAGCTCATGTTAGTAGTGTGCTTGAAGGTGAGGTTGAAACAGAAGAATTGCTGTTAAGTTACAGGCCACCCTGAGCAGCATAATGATTTCCAAGTCTGTCAGGGCTATGTAGGGAGGTCTTATCTCAAGAAAACTAATTAAATACATAAATAAGTAAATAAATAACAGTGTACTTCAACCTCCTGGTGCAGATGTTCCCCAACTATATTGGAAATATTAGATATTTCCATATTTGATGCCTTTATTAGTTCTGTACACTTAGAATAAGGCATCCAAAAAAGGAAGCTAATTTACCTTGCAGCTCCACGTAACCTCAAATTATGTCACCTATAATTTAAACGAAACTTTGGTAATTGTTTATTACATCAATATGTCGAGCAGCAACCTTTAAAAAATGTTTTTCCAACAAAACAGGAAATTCTTGTGTACAGGACTCTCCTCAGGAGCAAGTTCCTGAAAGGTGTTTCTATGTACTCGGTTATTAAGCATACAAAAAGGGAACGGGTTATTTAAAGGAATTTTCTGGAAAAGACTTCTGTAAAGCAAATATGGCCTCATGGTTTACCCATTCTGTTAGTCTAGCTTTTCCTAAGCTCATTTCAATTAGAGTGATCTAATTGCACTGACCTTTGCTGGGATGAGAATTGATGAAGTCCTGGATCAATGCTCATGAAGGCCTGTTTGCTCTCGTTGGTCTCTAGATGAGGGAGGCCACATCTCTGCTGCTGCTGAGGCAAATACACACTTTCAGTCTTAAGGGGAATGGTGAGAAAATTCTAGAGAAACAGTCAAAGGCCATTATCCTTGTTTGCATATTTCTTAACTGTATTTTTAAATGAGTGATTTAATGTCATCTTTGATTAAGGCAAAGAATTTTCTTTTTAGATCTTAAATGGCTATGAATTTCAGTAACACCAGGACAACTTGGAAGCGAATGGACCATTTCATCTTTTTTACCATTAAAGAATTACAATCAGGGCTGCAGAGAGGGCTTAGGGGTAAAGAGTGCTTGCTGCTCTTGCAGAGAATATAAGTTTGGTTCCTAGCAACCATGTCCAGTGACTCACAACAACCTGTATCTCCTGTTCCAGGAGACCTGATACCCTTCCGGCCTCCAAGAGCACCTATACTCACATGCATATACCAACCCCACCCCCATACATATAATTGAATGTAAAATAAATCTTAGAAAATAGAATCACCGTCAGATAGTAGATCCAAAAGAAAGTTTTGCCTCTCCTCTCTTTTTAAATTTAGTGTCATTTGTAAAGATAACCCCCAAATATAGTAACAGGTAGGACGTTTTCTAAATGATTCCAACATTATTTCAGTTAGATTTAGAAGATGATGTCTTTGGGGAGATATGGCTTTGTTTTCTATTTATAAATGCTTTTATTTGATCACTTTTGGCAAAGTAAGATTTATAAACTCTATACTGGTACATATGTACAGATAGAAAAAAATCCTGAAAGAAAATAAGATCAATTGTTACCACAATGAAAAAATGTGTAGTTCACAGTTTCAGCTGTGTAGTGTGAATATGATAACATATTCCTTCCTTTTTATGTCTCTGTATTTAACATAATGAATTTCTAAACCCATAAAAAAGAAAAAGACTTTTAAAAGTATAAAATATTAGCCAGGCATGGGGGCACTTGCCTTTAATCCCAGCACTTAGGAGGCAGAGGCATGGAGAGCTCTGTGAGTTTAAGGCAGCCTGGTCTTCATAGTGAGTTCCAGGCCAGGCCAGCTGGGTCTACAGGGAGACCCTGTCTCAGAAAACAAACAAAAAACAAAAACAAAAACATATATATATGTATGGGAAGAGCAAGCTAACATTGCTTTCAGAATAAGGAAAAGGTTACTGCTCACAGAAACTGTTTTACAAATGACCTCGAATATTTTACTGCATAAAATTATTGTTAAGCCTCCACCTTTTTTGAACTTGAGTCTTGTGATGTAGCTTAGGCAGGCTTCAAACTCATGATCCTCTTGCATCAGCCTCCTGAGTGATTACCGGTGTGGTCCACCATGCCCAGCTGTAATACCAATTTTCTTAAGTCACGTGCATGTCTGACCTTTTTTCTGACTTAGTCTTAAGTTTATAAATTCATATTGCCCCCAAGAATATCTGCTGCAAATAACAGAATAAAATAGCATGCTTGGGTCTGGAGAGATGGCTCAGAGATTAAGAGCACTTGTTTTTGCAAAGGACCCAGGTTTGATTCCCAGCATCCACATGGTGACTAACTACTGTCTGTAAATCCAGTTCCAGGGATCTGACAGTTTATGTATTTGGTGCACATACATCCATTCAAGCAAAACACTCATACATAAAATAAAAATAAGTACATGAAAATGACAATGCTTAAATTCTAGGTCTATGTAAGTTCTAAGACTATGTAAATCAGACATCCCTGACTTGAGGGTCCCAGTGACATGAGTTTTGGATGGTAGCAGTGAACACAGTTTACAGCACATGCTGTGCAGACTTGTGTATGCTTGACCTTATGAAGTTACCTACACTTGTTACCCACACTCATAATTAAGGTGTATCCTGTATTTAGTATAACCAAATTAGCAGATTGCTTTGATGGAAGACTTAGTTGCAGAGACTAATGTCTAGTTTCCAAATGAGTCATGTGCCCCCTTAAACAGAGTAGACCCTGCATATGTATTCAAGCATACAGCTGGACCTGGTGCCATTTTGCTCCCTGGCTGATTGGGAATGGGATGAGAGGAAATGTCGGTGGACTATTTGTGTTCATAGAACATCAGCTAATTGATGAAGTTCTGATTACTGCCCAGGTTTTAGTGTCCAGAGAGCAAAAAGAGAAAATATTTGCTTCTTCCCAATTGGAAATTTTAATTGTGCCATCTCTGTATTGTTCCAGCTCAAAGCCTAGTAATTAACATGAGTGAATGATCAAAATCAGGGCTTCACACCCAGCATGTGCCAGCAGTTGGAGGCAGGAGGTGAGTGACAAAACATCCCAAATTGAAATTTGCAGTAGATAAGATAGAAGCATCCAAATAAAGGGCTGGAGAGATGGCTCAGTGGTTAAGAACACTGACTGTTCCTGCAGAAGACCTGGGTTCGAATGCCAGCACCCATGTGGCAGCTAACAACTTTCCGGAACTCTAGTTCCAGGGGATCTGACAGCCTCTTCTGTCCTCCTCGGGCATTGCACGACAGGGGTGCACCTACTTACATGCAGGCAATACATACATACACATAAAATAAAAATGAAATAAAATAAACATTTTTTATAAAGCATATATTTAAAAAAGTATCCGGGGCTGGGGAGATGGCTCAGTGGTTAAGAGCACTGACTGCTCTTGCAGAGGACCTGGGTTCGAGTCCCAGCACCCACATGACAGCTATTGAACCATCCTTAACTCCAGTTCCAGAGGAATCCAAAGCCCTCTTCTGACCTCCGTGGCACTGCACAACACGGGTGCACTCACATACATGCAGGCAGTACACTCATACGCATTAAAAAAAAAAAAAGTAACCAAGTAAGTCTGCTAGACTACAGTTCCCACTTTTAATGACCTCTTAAATAATGTATTTAAGGGACCACACTGGTGAACTTCAAACTGCTGT